TTCACTCCAACTACACAAACACACAAAATCTCACAAAGCTGTATGTGGAATTTTGTGTGTGTAAAGTGTGAAAGTTGGTTTTTTGGACTTTTTGTGGCTGTGTGAGGTTCCTGCTTGTTGCAGGGCCCATTTTGGGTCTAGCACAGCTGCTTTTACATTGTGGGTGAGCCAGTTGTGTTGTGTTGTGTGTGTTTAGAGTGTGAAAGTTGGTTTTTTGGGCTTTTTGTGGCTGTGTGAGGTTCCTGCTTGTTACAGGGGCCATTTTGGGTCTAGCACAGCTGCTTTTACATTGTAGGTGAGCCAGTTGATGTTTTTTAATTTTTATTTGGTGTGCATTGGAAGAGGGGCAGTCTTATATGGCGAGTATAGCTCAAACCCTATATTTTAACAGGAAAAGTTGGGGATCGTCTTATACGCCCAGTCGTCTTATACGCCGGAAAATACGGTAACTACGGATAATCTCAATGGACAGCTGAAATAAAGGCAAAATAGATTACAAATACAGAATCCATTCGCAATTTTCTTTGGGAAATCCTACAAACATTTAACTGGTTGTGACTCTTTATCTTTAAATACAATAATTTAATGAATAGGTATACATACTGTGTTTCCCCAAAAATAAGACCCTCTCTTATATTTTGTTGAACCCTGAAATAAGCGCTTGGCCATATTGCTATGCATTCAAAAGCCCGATTGGGCTTATTATCAGGGGATGTCTTATTTTGGGGGAAATAGGGTATATAAAAGATGTTTTACAAAACTACTGTCCTAAATACTCCATTTTTAAAAAAGTAATCATTTCAAAGGACAAACTCAAATGAAATATGGAGAGTGACTTCTAAATGTATAGAAATGCTCAAATAGGGGGTTGGACTAGATGACCTTCCAACTCTGTTATTCTATGAAGAGTTTTTCTGTACTTAGTTTTCGTACAATGGATCGTTTTTAGAAATTTAGCCTGAAAAGTTAAAAAAAAACACCCAGGAACTATTCATTTTGGAGGATTACATCTATAAACTAAGTAACTAGTTTCTTAGATCACTCAAAGAATAAATTCTGTTACCATAAATATACATATTTTAAAGGCAGAAAACCAATCCTTTGAAACTTGCTGTTCAATTTTAGAATTTCTGTGTTTAACCAATCAATTATGTTTTCTTTTTGCAGTTTTTGAAGTGTAATTTTAGAACTTTATTATGACTATGGTTATTAATTTTGAAATATTATCAATACTGTGATATGCACCTATGCATTTTCTTCTGTTAATTCATTTTATATTTAAATGAAAAATTAAATCTTTCCAATTAATTTGGAAGCAGACAATACTCAAGTGTTACTGGTTTATTAACCATCAAAAAACAACTTACTTTAAAGTTCATTCCACTTCTTTAAATGCACTATTTCTTTTTAAAGGTTGTAATATTCTCATTTATCTCTTTTAAAGATACTGCTTTGCCTGTTAAAAATACAATCATATATCTTATTACAAAAGCAAATCTGTGTACCAAGTTTGGTTGAAATTGCTTGAGACATTCCAGAGTTATGCTGGAACACACACATACCCCGAGGGGTGTTAGGGGTGTCTTACCCCCCATAGTGTTTGTCTCCAGGAGGTAAGTCATATGTGTACCAAGTTTGATTGAAATTGCTTGAGGCGTTCCAGAGTTATTCCAGAACACACACACACCTACACCAAGAGGAGATAGGGGTGTCTTACCCTCACAGTATTTTTTTCCAGAGAGTAAGTCATCTGTGTACTAAGTTTGGTTGAAATTGCTCGAGGCGTTCCAGAGTTATGCTTAAACAAACAAACATACATACATCCTTTTTATATATGTATAGAAGATAAATATTAGGATAAAAATCTAATTATCATGAGGGTCCTTATTGGTGCTCTCTGAGCTTACTTGTTTTCTTGCAGACATTTCATTACCCTAACTAGGTAACATCATCAGTGTGGGTGAGGGTGGTCTTGGAGATTCATTGGTATCCACCCCCACACCCAGACAGGCTAGTCACCAGAATATAAACTGTCAGCGAACAGCTCTCTTTACTAGCACTGATGATGTTACCTAGTTAGGGTAATGAAAACGTCTGCAAGAAAACAAGCAAGCTCAAAGAGCACCAAGAACCCCTCATTTCAACCCTGAACTACAAATATTCTCCTTTATTGGTATCTAATTATTGTCTTTATATCAGATACTATTTAGACTTTTTGCTCTTCGTAATGTTCTGCTATTGTTTATAACTGAATTGCTACCAAAGAAATTTAAATCTTTATCATTTACTATCCTACCAGACATCTCTAGTACATAGTTGGACACGGACAGTGGCACAGAACTAGATTTGGAGGCAGTAATATAAAGGTGATAAATCATTTTTTCTTTTATATTGGCTATGTTTCTTTTATCAGAACCATCCTAAAATAGAAATTGAATATTACAGCCAAAAATGTTAATTTGTTAAACGATCATGAATAAAATTATTTTATGAATAAGAAAGAATCTTACTGTAGGAAGGAAGTCTTCTAGCTGTAATAAAAGTGAGAACTTTCTGAAAATATTCAGGTTTTCTAAAAACAAAAAATAAGGATAAAAAGGGATTGAGCCAAGTGATTAGAAACAAAATCCAGAGAAACTGTAGCATCAACAAAGAATTATACCATGGAATATACAAACAAACTAAGAAGGAAAACTGGATATAATGCTAAAGGTACATGACTGCAAAAAAAACTCCAAGCCCCAGGCAATGGCCCAGTCCTGTGCTGCGGTCCATTGGAAACCAGGCCATGCAAGCACAGGGTGAGCACACAAAATTGCATTTGTGCAAGTGGCATGCACGCATGCAACTGTGACCATCAAATGTACTAAAAATTTTATTGCGCTTATTTTAACAATACATTTTAGAGCAATTCTGTTTTTAAATTAGAAATATTAAGTCTTAATTTCCATTCATCAGCTAGAAATGCAAAAGCCGTTGGTGCATATACGTTTTCAAAGCAACCAGGCCATCTGTCCAATTAGATGATGTTGACAAGATTATGGAAGAACTAGTATCTGAGTTTAATTCCTCTCCTCTTTCCTGATTCCCATTTATTTTGCTTTTGCTTTGAATCCACTTGACCTTGCAGACAGAACCATCTTATCTTCTAACAACTGTTCCAGATTATTTAGACATTTTAGGAACTGTTGAGGATAATACCAAGAATAAACTTTTACTTCTTTCCAAAGCAATTGTCTGTAGGGATTCTCAGACATCCAAGTCATAGTTGTCTCAAAGGTCTTTTTCAAAAGGCAACTGGACTATTTTTTTCCTTCAGGAAGAAAAATACATTTCACTTCTCATTCAAGAAGCTTCAACTCATTCTTCAAGTCATTAAGCTTCTTGGATGAAAGCAAAACATCTTCTTCAAGAAAAAAAAAAAAACAGCCCAGCTGCCTTTTGAAAAAGCACCTTTGAAGTTTCCAGGCAATTCAGCAACATAAAATAAAGATTAGACTAGCAGTTCACAATCTTTCCTTTTATATGAATATTTTATTATCAAATGGTTTTGAGAACTACATATATTAAGAGTAACTATACAACAGTATTTGGAACCACCAAAAACATCAGTGCCCCTTCAAAGTGCACAGTCCAAAGGAATTTACATTAAAGCTATTCCTACAGTATTAAATGGCAGAGACAACATGAGGTCACCAAATTTCACAAAGAAAAATTCTACCATACGGCATTATATTTTGTAATAATATTGCAAAAAATATTATTTTGCAATAATATAGTTTGCACCATTTATGCAAAAATTGTGCAAAATAGATCTTTTTCATTTATTATACATTTTAATGCTGTGTCTGTTTTAGAACTTATATAATTTTTATACACCCTACCATTGAGTTTAGTAGAGAACTAAATAATCAAGCTTTTCCAGCAAAATCCTGTTGTTACCAATAACAATTGCCCATGCCCACCATGCACAAAATGTGTATTTGGCCGCCTGAGATAAGATGCTCAGAAATCATTGTTTCCTACCCCCTACGTGCAAACACTTATTGTTGTGTACATGTAAGAATGCCGCCCATCCATCACCCACTCTTTAACCCGTGACGTTTAAAAGCCAAGACTAAAAGAAGTATCTCTGAGCAAATTTATACCTACTGAACGTGGCTTTGGGCGGCGTACAAGCAATAACAATTAAGACATTAGAACAGCCATGAAAACAACCGTACGTAATTAAACCACCCCCTTCGTTTGCCTTTGGGGATTCAGCGCTCTGAACAACCCACTCCCTCACTCTTTCCACTCGCCTTCCTATTTACCTTGGACTAACCACGCACATATCCGAAACGAAGATCCACGCTCAAAAGTCGGTCATTCACTTCAGAAAAATCAGAGGCTCAGTGGGAAGCCAGTTGAGGGGGGGGAGAGCTTTATTTGTTCAACCTATCCCACCATTAGGCACCTCAGAAAAAAGGGGAGGTTGATACGGGCGGACAAGAAACAGATCGGCGGGACGACGCGCGAAGGGAAGCAAGAAAGCCAAGTCTTAACACTCTCACACAAAGCCCCTCACCTGCCGCTCGCGCTCGGCCCCGCCCCCGCCCTCTCACCGCTTCACTCCCGCTAACCGTTTCCTTGGTTTCCCAACCGTCTTTTCCACACAAACTTCCCTCACGTGGCCCCATCAGCGAGCTCTCTTATTGGCCCACCGCTCAAGCAGCGGTAGTTGTCAACGTCGCCCCTCTTTCCATATTGCTAACGTTTTCTCTGTTTGGGCGTTTATTAGTTATAGGATTTTCGGGCAACGCGGAGCATTGAGGATACCCGGAAAGATGGGAAAAGGTTGCCGCGCTCACCCACGTCTGCTAGCACCCTAGTCCTAACCCGCCGTTCTTCTTAACGCTGAGCAATCCTACTCTTCCGTGAAACACGCCCCCCCCCCTTAAAAGGCCTTTGCGTGGCCTTCCTCAGGCTGCACAGTACTTCGCGCGCAGGCGCAGTTTCCTGTTTTCGTTCTCACAAAGACAAGGGAACCTTTTCCCGTTCAGGGGTCGATTCCTCTTTTCTCCTTTCCAGAGGGCGTTTCTCCCGGGACTGTTATTTAGCCCTCTTTTTTTTTTTTATGACTTGAGGAAAAGCGTAACGCTTTTCTCCTTCGCCAGGATTTCTCGACCTGAAGAATAGTTTTGAGTTGGCGGAGACTTGGGTGTGGAGGAGTCTCCCCCAACGCAAACTATTGAAACGGCTAGCAGGATTTGGTCGCGCGAGAGAAAGGAGATGACACGAGTGGGGGGGGGAGAGGTGTAACGGTGAAAAGTAAGAGCTGGAGACCTCCAGAAAAGTTGTAATAACCTCGAAGAGCGGCCGGGTACCGCCTTGGAGAAGACAGGAGCTCGGGGGGACTGTCTAACGGGGCAGTTGACTCTAGAAGGAAGCGAGGTGACTTGTTTCGAACATTTGTGGACGAAGAAGGTCCACCTGAGGAACCAAACGGTAGTTGAGGACAACCAGTGGGGTAATGGAGGTGGGTGGAGGCTGATCCTGCTTTATCGGCCGCAAAGAAGGTGGCTGTTGGCAGTTTCGATGAAAGGGACGGAGTTGAAGCCGCCGGTGAGAGAAAGGGAGCCTCCCTTATCTTTCAATGTTGAAGAAAAGGGCTACAACGGGTAGGGAACTATGGCTCTTTTTATAATTTGTGGACCTCAGTTCCCAGAATTTCCGAGCCAGCCATACTGGTTCAGGAATTCTGGGAGTTGAAGTCTGCAAGTCAAAAGGGCCATAGTTCCCCACCTCTGGTCAATAAGAAAGCGCTGGAGGCGGGGGGGGGGGGCGCAATGGGAAGTCGGAAGAGGAAGGTAGTAATTGGAGGGGGACCGTTTGGAGCGACTTGCCGACATGGTGGCACTGATGGAAGGATGGGGCCTTAGGCGGCAGATCAGAGTCAAAAGTCTTATTTTGAAAGCTTTGCAGGCAACTAATCTGGTCTACCATGTGGGCGATTTTCGTCCCTTCCTAAAAATGCTTTTGTAGCAAAGCACTTAAAACATACCAAAGTTATTTTTATTTGTACCTTTCAGGTTCAACAGAATAGTGTGAAGGTGGAGCTCCTTGATAAGCTATAGAGCAGTGCTTCTCAACTATTGTTTCTTCTGTAGAGGAAGACTTGTTTCCTCAGCAGCAGTGTTTCAGCATCTTTAAGATATGTTCCCCATGCTGGCTAAGGAATTCTGGGAGCCGATGTCTGCACACCGTAAACGTTGCTGAGGTTGGGAAATGCTGCTGTAGAAGAAATGAGTCTTCCTAATGGGACCTAAGATCATAGAAGAACAGCAAGAGATGGCCCAGAAAATGCAAAAGGAATTTCAGGACTTTACAATAAAAACAAATCTGATTCCTATTACATATTTCTCTACCCACAAGGAGGAAAGGTCATATGCTACATGATGCAAATGTGTAGCAGCTACACAATTGACAGTCAAAGAGCTAATAAAATTTAAATTCATGGCCCAGCTAGCCAACCAGGTATATTATATGATCAAATCTAATGGGACTAAGCACTGTAGAAAGTGATGGATTCCAGACCTTGGGCAGTGCAAATATATCAGCATGACCTCAATGTATTTTTGAAATAGAAGGAAACCCATCCAGTCAGGGTTAACCCAAGGACTGCAGTGAGTAAAACACCAGCCAAGCCATGTGAAGTACCACCCAGCTTCCAACAAGTGCACATGCCTTTTGGCAAACTAGCTTCCAAATGCTTCAAATATGGAAAAGCATATACCCTAAGAAAGATTCCCAAAATGAAAGCCCAAATAAATGAGTTTGAATCTTAAAGTCATGGACCAGAGGAACTTCCTATTCCATACTACCAATGTGTTGAGTGAATGTGTTAATAAACAGCCACCTCACTGGGCATCTCTCCATCAATGACTAACATCTTTACCAGGTACATAGAGTATAAATGCTGCTTGTCAAGTTAAAATCCTTGGGAATGGGAAATGGGAATTTGTAGTAATGGAGGATCATATCACTGCTGTGCCATTTGGAAAAGTTATGGCAGAATGCACATGAGAGACCCTCCCACCAGGAGAGGTTTAGAATCAGTAAAGATGATACCTCTAATCCTGACCACAAGAGTCATTCAAATACTTCGGAAACCAGGGACATACCTACAAAAGAGAAATCTGGTTGAAGTCTCAGTTCCTTCTCAGAAGGCAACTACAGAACACACTGAGACATCTTTTGGCCAGGAAAATTGGGGGGAGGGAGACCCATGTCAAACAGAAGACTGTGCGAGTCACATGCCAGGAAACACATTATTGAGCAGTTCAATGTAATTTACATCACCAGGAACCAGCTTGGGAAGCTCATGCTACAGTAAAAGCAGATTGGGACAGGTAATTGCAGGTATAGTAGTTGCAAGTGAACTACATTACAGTTTCCAGGAATTAGGTTCAAATCTAGATTACAGCATGTGAACACTATCACTTTGAGGAGCAAATGGTATTTAACCTCATCAGGGATCTGTAGAGAGCATGAGGGCTTGGGAGTTTGCCATTATGGTACAGTAGGAAAAAAAATCCCATTGCTCCTCTCCTGGCACCCAAACAAATGGAGAATACTAGGCAATTATGCCCAAAGTATGCTTAGACAATATACTAACCTGACCACCTTCACTTAGAGATGTGGAAGAGTAAGCCAGTGTATCTTGGCTTGCCTCATAGCAATATCAGATTATTGTGAAAGCAGTTAAAGTGATGCAAGCAATGTATATAATTATTGTATGTCCAAGAGTACTGCGAACCTGAGAGAAATCCAAACCTGGTCTGCAAACCATTTCTGTGTGGTTTATACCGAAAATAAGAGTGGAATTGGCTCCTATATGTCTTGATAATTGCACTCCATGTTAACTATTGACACTCCAGAGATACACTGGAGCAATTGTGATAGACCAAGCTCTTCATTTGGAGTAACCTCCCCCCAAAAGTCTTGTTGGTTTCTGACAGAAAATTTATTATGCCATTATGCTGTTTAGAAGCTGTAGCATTAATCATGGGACCATCAAGTTGACCTCGGAACCATCCATAGAACACAGAAAAATATCTGTATGCTGGGGTTTATAAAGCATTGGATGAGTTTGATGTTAAGAATGAATATGTTCAAGGGAAGATATGTCTAATAGTAGATATTATTTTGAGGACTCAAGAATTTCTCCCAGGCAAAATAAAGTTTTGTTTTTGTTTTGTAAAAAACAAGTCTGAAGAGCTGGGAGACAAATGGTCGCTTATAGTTTCTGAGAGATTTTGGGAATCTCCAAGTGGTTGGAGAAGTTCACAAAGTGAAGCATAAAACTACTGCTTCAGGGATCCTAGGGTTTCTGTAGAAATGGGTAGCATAGTCAGAATTTGTGCTACATTTTCGCATTTCTATGTGTGGTATTAAGTCTCATTTTCTTTGTCATATAGCTTCTAGGAATAAATGTTCAATTTCAGCCTTCATTTATATGTCATACTGAGGGCTTTGCATATTAACTTTATGGGAAAAAACATTTTATTCTACTTACGTCCTGCAAGTTTGATTTTACTGTGAATAAAGGAAATAGCTAAATCCTATAGTCATAGTGCCTCTACACAAAATAGCCAGCAGATGGCACTATAGAAATTATTTCCATTTTTGCATTTTGAGCTTTTAATTATTGAATGGCAATGCAGACTATGAAAGCCTCATCTCTTCTGCATACTGGGGTTAGAAGGTGCCAGGTAAAATACACTCTCTCCCCAGAGGATAGGTGGGACATTGTGAACTGCCTGCAATTTGGCAGTTCACAATCTCACCAGGCTCAAGGTTGATTCAGCCTTCCATCATTCCGAGGTGGGTAAAATGAGGACCCAAATTGTTGGGGGCAATATGCTGACTCTGTAAACCACTTAGGACTGTAAAGCACTGTAAAGCAGTATGTAAGTCTAAGTGCTATTGCTATTGTTATTGCCAGGCTACCCCGGAATGCTTCTATATCTACTCTGTTCCAGATATTCCCAATTCTCTTTTCCAGATATTAGATTAGATGAGATTAGATATTTGTCTTAAAGCAATGAAAACATTACCTAAATATGTAAAATGTTATATTCAGTCCTTTGCCATTTCCTGATTCACTTAAATCATTCATTAAACTAGGCATCTCCAGGGTAGATAAACCCATTAAGCTTAAGCATTCTGCCTTAAGCACCTTATGGACCCTGCTGAAGTCCAGCATAATTTATTCAGCAATTTGGGAGGCAATTCTGTTGTGAATGCCTGGTAGATTTTTGGAATACATAAATCTAAAAGAACATTGACAAAATGCTCCCAAATGAAATTTCACTCCCACACGGATCCTGGAAGTGGGCACTTTTGTTTTTTAATTGAGCTTTAGGAGAGAAAGACACGGGTGGATTACAATATGAGTGGATTAAGGCCAGAAGTTAACCTTATCATACTGGCGTGATATCATATTTAAGCCTAAAGTGTGGTGTTAAAGGTGTCAAAATATTTGTGATCAGCACCTCATTGGAAAAGAAGTTGATACTTACCAGTACCACCAGAAAAGAAATTGTGGTATATCTGCTCATCAAAAGAACGTTCTGGAACTATTTGTGCTGAATAATTATCATCCAGGCTCCAAGTTTCTCCTTGATGGGGAGGAATGTTAAGAAAATGGAGGTGCTCCAATTCTAGAATACCCTGAAAGGAAGCAGATCATTTGAACTTTTTAAAATTAGATTTTAGTCCAAGGCATGGGACAGATTGCATTAGTCATACTTGTTTATTTTTCTGGGGACTTCATGGAAGGAAATGTACCCTTTCTGGCTCTTTTATTTTTTTAACCTCTCAGGGCTATTCAATATTATCAATCATGATAGCTTTCTGGACTGCCTGCAAGGGTTAGAAATTGAAGTACTGCTTCTTCCTGAGTAAGCTATTCCATTGGGGAAGGAGAGGTTAGCTTGCCAAAGCGATCTTTCCTTTCCCCCCTATTTTGTAGCTTTTCCATGAAACCACTGGGGGAGTTCATACATCATCAGTAGGCTGGTCATACCCTGATATATATTATCCAGATCTTTTTAGTGGCTACCCTGGATAAGGTAGAACTCTTAAACAGTTCAACAACTTGGAGGTCATTCTCAGCTTATAACTATAGGATTAAGTAGGATGGGCAAACAGAGGCCATAACTAAAAGTACCACCTATGACTGGTATTTCAGTTGTCATTTTCCTGGAGAAGGAATGTTGTGCTTACCTGAACGTTCGTTCTATGTGCACTGCGTGAGAGTCCAAGCAATGAGTGATAACCTTGTCTGATTGGCCAGAGATTGAGTTGTAATTTTTTGTTTTGTCATGCCTCCTCCTTCCTGTTTAGGCTCAATTTGTTAACGTCTGGATCTGGAGAAGACATAACCTGTAATGAGAAAAAAACACATTCTCCGGCCCTGGATCCTGTCCAGAAGTTTAGGGCAGTCTCACGCAGCGCACATAGAACAAACGTTCAGGTAAGCACAACGTTCTTTCTCCTGTGTGCTGCTTAGAGAGTCAAAGCAATGGGATATGCACAAGCTAAGTATACCTAGGGTGGGAATTAGAATCATCCAGGGGCCGGTCAACCAGAAGAACCTGTTGCAAGACTCGTCTCCCAAAGGCAGCCTCAGCCGAGGCAAACATGTCCAGTTTGTAGTTTCTGATGAAGGGAAAAGGCGATGCCCAAGTGGCTGCCCTGCAGATCTCTAAGATAGAAGCTTGAATAGCTCATGCCGCCATGGCGGCTGCGCTTCATGTAGAATGGGCCATAATGCATCCAGGAATTGGTCGAGCCTGATAATCGTAAACCAGAGGAATACAGGCCTTGAGCCAACGATCAATGGTGGACGAAGTCACCTTCGTGCCCAGGGACCTGGGCTGGAACAAGATGAATAATGTCTCTGTCTTCCGGAATGGCGCTGTTCTAGAGATGTATGTGCGTAGGACTCTGCGGACATCTAAGGTGTGCCATCGGTGTTCACTGGGATGTTTGGAATGGGGACAAAAATCTGGTAATATAACCTCCTGGGCCCTGTGGAACTGAGTTGATTTTTGGGATGAATGTCAGGTCAAGGCGGAGGACAACTCTGTCCGGATGGATAATATACAAGCCTTTTCTTACTGAGGGAGCCGCCAGTTCCAAGATTCACCGAGCAGATGTGATGTCGATGAGAAAGGTGACCTTAAAGGTCAGAAGTCTGAGAGGTGCGGAACTCAACAGCTCGAACAGAGCAGACCTGAGAGCTGCAATACGAGGTGCAGATCCCAAGAAGAGTATCTGTGAACTGGAAAGGGGTGTAGATTGGCGGCCCCTTTCAGAAAGCTATGAACCCTTGGGTATTGAGAGAAGGTCGAAACTCCTTCGTAGGAGAGAATGGTTGCTAAAGCGGAAACTTGCCTGTGAAGAGTATTAATGGCTAGGCCAGCATCAAGCCCATCTTGAAGGAATTCCAATATCTGAGGAACAGAAGTTGATGTTGCAACAAGACTTTTCTTGCTGCACCAGCGACCAAAGGACTTCCAAGTGGCGTCATATATACAGGTTGTAGATGGACGTCTCGAGGCTAGGATGGTAGAGATTACCTTCCTAGAGAAACTGTCCTTCCTCAGGATCTCCCTTTCAAGTACCAGACAGCCAATTGGAGCCACTGAGGTTCTGGATGTAGTTCGGCCCCCTGGCTGAGGGAGATCCTGTCTAGAGAGATTCTCCAGGAAAGGGACATCAATAGATTCACGAGATCCGCAAACCAGTCCATCAGTGCCAATGGGGGACCACAAGGAGGACTTCCACGCCTTCCAGCAGGATTTTCCTGATGATCCTCAGTATTAGAGGAGTCAGGGGAAATGCATACAATAGGCCCTGGGGCCATGGGCAGTGGAGGGCGTCCATCCTTTCAGCTCCTGGGGTCTGGAATCTGGTGTAAAACCGTGGAAGTTGCGCATTCGCTGAGGTGGTGAAAAGATCCACCAGGGGGGCCCCAAATTGTGTCACCAAATGGTTGAACAGGTCGGGATGTAGTTTCCATTCTGTCTGATCGCTGGTGGTCCTGCTTAACCAGTCTGCCTGGGTGTTGGACAGTCCCGATATGTGCTCTGTTCGCAGGGATAGCAGGTGTTTCTCTGCCTAGAGACTGATCGCAGAAGCCTCATGCATCAGGGCCCTGGAGCGAGTGCCCCCCTGGTGGTTGAATAAACAGTTCAACAACTTGGAGGTCATTCTCAGTTTATAACTATAGGATTAGGTAGGATGGGCTGTGACATTGTCTGTCAGTAACAACAAGTGGTGGCCTGATAATTGAGATTGGAAATGGCGGAGCACCAAATGAGCGACTCTCAGCTCCAGCCAATTAATGTCGTGGCTGAGGTCGGATGGAGACCCTAGGTCACTTGTGATTGCAAATGAGCGCCCCAGCCGAAAAGGCTGGCGTCTATGTTCAGGGTGAGATGGGAATGCTTCTTGAAGGAACATCCCCATTCCAAGGCTGTTTACATCCACCACCCCAAGGATCTGAGAACCTTTTGGGAAATCCGTTTGTGAGCATTGCTGAGGCCCAATCATTGACTTAGCAAGAGCAACCATTGAAGAGGACAGTAGTGTAACCTCACCCAAGGTACAATCTGTAGGCAGGATATCATTTTGCCTAGCAATTGGGAAAGAAGCACCAATGGTACCTTTCTGAGGATTCGGACTTGCCATATGGTGGTGCGGATGTTGGACAGACACTCTCTGGAGAGGAAGACAAGACAGGTCTGAGTGTCGATTCTTGTTCCCAGGTGGACAATGTTTTGTGGTGGGAGTCAGATGGCTCTTCTCCCAATTCATGGTAAACCCGTGATTTTTGAACCGTGGTCTGTAAATCTAGATTTGCCCACTGGGGAGAAGACAACAGGATTAATATGTCATCTAGATAACAGAGCAAATGTATGGGTCTTTCCCACAAGTGAGCAGCCACCATGTCCAGAAGCTTTGTGAATACTCTGGGGGCTGACGAGAGCCCGAAGGGCGTGGCTCTGTATTGGTAATGCCATCCGGCACAGGAGAACTGGAGGAATCTCCTGTGAGACAGCCTGATGGGCAGCGATCCCGAAAGGAAGGCCTGTCCTGCGGCCTGTCTGCAGTTGGTAGGAAGGGCTTTTGGTAGGTCGGACTTTGAAATCCTGTCAGATGCATGAAAGGGCTGTCTGTGATAAGGATACCCAAATCGTCTGTCTGCTCGATGGTAGACATGAGGGAGGACTTTCTTTTTATCTTTACCCTCTACCAGGACAATGTCTAAGGTTTCCCCGAAGAGGGAGCCACCCTTGAAGGGGGCCGCAACTAGTCTCCATTTTGTTTTCATATCGGCCTGCCAGTGCCTCAGCCATAGGAGGTGTCTGGAGGTGACATTAGATGCTAAGGCTCAAGAAGCAAATTTAGCTGAAGTGAGGGTAGCATCTGCTGAATATTTTGCAGCAGCAATTAGTTTATTTAAGTCCTGATGCAAGTGGATGTCCTCAGGTGACACCCTGGCTTGCATTTGACGAAGCCAAATTAGGGAACTCTGAGAAAAAAAGGATGCCACTGTGGCAGAATGAATGGCCCAGGCGGCTGCTTGGTAGGTCTTATGAGCAGCGAGCTCCGCCCTTTGGTCTTCCATCTTTAGGCCCTCAGCTGAATCAGAAGAGAGGATGTTAGAGGATGCCAAACTGGCCACCAGAACAGCAATGGTTGGAAGTTTGAGGAGATCCTCAACTTCTTGTTCCACCGTATACATTTTCCGATCCATGCTACTAGGAGCAGAGATGGACCCAGGCTGATTCCATTGTCATTATATGACGTCTACAAAGAGCTTAGGGGATGGGACCACCTCTTGCTCGGCAAAAAGAAGAGCCATGGGATCTTGAGGGTCCGAGGATCCCTCAGGTTGCCCAATAAGTGCCCCCATATTGGCTGTTGTCTTTGCCTTGTACAATAGCGTTTTAAATAGGTCATGACGGAACAGACCTGTGACAGGGCTTATCAGGAATGACCCTTTCATCCTCAGAAAAATTATAATCCACCACCTCCTCTTCTTCGCCGTGAAAGGAGGTGTCACTTTGCTGCGAAGGTGAAGGAGAATGAGAGTCTAGAATGTACTCTCTGTCTGAATGACCCACAGGTGCAATGGTTCTTGGATTCGGGTCTGTCGCTGGCAGTGGGGCTAAAAATCCCTGTTGCATAAGAGCAGCATCAATGCCCTTAGTAATAGTTTGGGCAATCATATCATACAAATCTTGTGACAGTGCAGTGCCCTGGCTTTCCTCCGGGTGGAGCCCCACCACAGTAGGCATAAAGGTAGCAGAGGCATGGGAGCCCCTGTGCTGCTGAGAGGATTCTGGCTCAGGAATGGCTATACCCAAGGGAGCATCCATATCTGCTGTCTCTGTGCTAGTGGAGGCAGCGGGAGACCAACCAAACTGACCTGGCTGGGATTCCAGAGCCAGAGGTTCCTTGTTTAATGAATCAGTTGTTTCTGTGCAGAAGTGGAAGGAGCTTTGCTAGCCTCCGCCCTTTTCTTGGCCATATTTCCTTGGCACAGTGTCACCTCATGGCATCCTTATCAGATGCAGATGAAGTTGAGGCTTGAACAGAGGACTGGGATCTGGTAATTGGTACCTTGGATCTAGATTTCCCCTTTTTTGTAACTGAAGCCTCCAAGGTTTGATGCCTAATTGAGGGACAGGCAGAGGAATGAGAAGGAAATCTGCGAAATGCCATTTTGAAAGGCATGAGGTAACTTGTGAATCAGCCAAATAAAATTCCTCTTTTGTAAAACCTCCAGTAATAGTTGTCAATTGCCTTGAAATCACCTCCATCGTGTACAAAAACCCAGAATGGAGGACAGTTAAGGGCTTCAATCACACCAAGCCGACACCATGGCTTGAAAGTGGAGTGGAATAAAGGCTGCAGTGGGGCGCTGCACCTACACCAAGGCTTTAAGCGCGAATTCTAACGCAGCCTGCCCAGGGAGCTAGAATCCGATACCACGGATCCTTGCCCAGCTAATAGAGGTGCAGAGCCGAAACCACAGCTCTCCCCGCGCTAATCCGCCGCCAAAACTCACAATACCAGCTCCGGAACAATCAAGGATAAGACGAGACTCCACATGCCGCGCAGACCCCTCTGCAAGAAAAAACGCTGCTGCGGAGCCCAGCTGATCGGCGCTTGGCTGGGCGCGGTGCCAGAAACCACTTCCCAGCTGAAACGAAGCCGTTTACAAAGAATGCTGCTGTGCATTTCTAAAGCAGTCCAAGCAATGGAGATATTCAGAATATGTCTCTCTAGGCCGACTGAATTAGCAAACTGAGCCTAAACAGGAAGGAGGCATGATCAAACAAACAAATTACAACTCAGTCTCTGGCCAATCAGACAAGGTTATCACCCATTGCTTAGACTCTCTAAGCAGCGCACAGGAGAAAGAGACCTTCACAAAAATGATCTACCCCTTTGTCACATCCTATATAAATTACTACAATGCAGTCTACATGAAGCTGCCTTTGAAGACTGTTCAGAAAGTTCCAACTGGTACAAAATACAACAATCCCTTTTTTGAGTGAGAGCTCTTTTTCATATACAACACTGGTACTCCAGGCTTTGAAATGGTGAACAATAAGTTTCCAGGTACTATTCAACTTAATGTTTTCAACCTATAAAGCCCTCTATGATTTGACATTCAGGTACTTTCCAGAGTATATGCTTCAAATGGTATCTGCACATCCTACATTGGCGTCACAAACCAATGCTTTTTAGTGATCACCCCTAATTCTGGAGCCATCCTGCCAGTACTTAGATAAGTGGTGAAAAAAGAATGTTTAAATGAAATTGTTAAGAGGCACCTATAATAGTATAATTTTGGTATTTTAAGTCATGTTATAATTTTACATTATGTTTTTGTTTTTTTATACTGTACACTGCCAGGATTACATTGAAAACGTGTGGTAGATAAAGAACTTTCTGGAATGTCCTTGGAACAACTATAGATTATTACTGGAAGGAGGTCAAAATAATGATTATGGACAATAATGACTATGGAGTCACCAAGATTCAAACATGGGTCTATTGTACCATAACTAACAATGTTTGTAAGGGGAGAGTATGGCAGGCTTTCCAGACAACGTAAGATACGATATCAAATTTGGATGATTTCTGTGTCTCATCAAGTCTTTGTATTATAACTACCATTTTTCAGGAAGGTTGCTAACTCTTTCTATAAAGGTTTTTAGGTCTGAATAATTATTGCTGAAATACTTTACTACTAAAATAATACCCTTTTTCTGGTCACCATTAAAACTGCATGTCCAGAAAGTTTAAAATATGTGACTTTAAAATTAATATAGTATTGTGGTTTTATAGTGCTATACCTTCTGTTCAACTTAAGAAACCATAAAGGATTTAAATTACACAATGGTATAAAACTGTCATTTTTGTAGTAATTGTTAAAGTTATATGGTGGAGGGGAGAGAGATACTTCATTAAATATTTAACTGCAGTTCTATGCCTCTCATTAAAAAAGAAAACTGGAAAAATATATTGGCAATAATTAAATTCCTGGTAAAACTGGGTAATAAAATGGCTCTCATTCTGAAAATAAAATTAATCTATGTTGATGTCAGATGATCCAATCTACACAGCTATGACATTAACATGGACAGAATATAGCCGCACGGACACATAATTTGTAATACTCCTAACATATGAAAAATAAATTGTATTGCAATTTTGCTGCTTACTACAATGAGACAGCAATGATTAGGTAGTGCTAAGCACCACCCTCTAGAAACAGCTGTATGTGTGTGTTTAGAGAGAGACCACACACACAAGTACAGATTTCCTGGGTTTCTTTCTCTAGTTCATTCTGAGATGTTTTTTAGACTAATGGTAAACAGCATGTATGCGAACTTATTTGCAAATATTCTTATGTTTGAAGACATTTTATATAAGAAAAGGCAAGATTCTTGATGATTACATACATTGGATCTGAGTTACTTCACAGGAAGGCATTTTGCTGTCAGCTTCCTGTCAACTGAAATGAGCTGGAATTGTACAGATGAATTATGAACCCCAGCAGTATTATTGCTGAATGTGTTTCAAGAAATGAGCTCAGTATTTATTTCATATGTTCTGCTTTTTCATAGTAGTCTGACCATATTTTGAAAAACAAATTGACTAGTCAGGCCAAATTGCTTATGAAAAATAGGGAATGGTAAGACTAAAGATGTAAGAAGCAATTACTCTCAAAAAATTCTACTTAATACAATGCATTAGCTTCTATGAAGCATGAATAAGTACATGGCTTAAGAACTAGATGGATAATAGTCATTTTTCAGTCCAAATTATTTACAAAACTTTAATTGTACACACATCCTAATCTTTTCTAACTATTTGTTCACACATATGTTCAGAAATACAACTCTTCCCAAATAGGAAATTTTATTCTGAATTTTATTTTCAGTAGCTACAGAATATATATTTCAATGACTGTTGTGCCTCTGTCCAAGAGCATGGAATCAGGAATATTAAGATGTTAGAAAGGAGGCAAATTAAACATAACTAGTCCACCAGTTATAACCATTTGTTTAGTGACTGCTCAAAATTACAGTGACACTGGAAAAAAGGGACGTATGACCATTTTTCACACAACCGTTGCACCATTCCATGATCATGAGAGTTGTAGCATCCCCTACATGGTCATGAGATCAAAGTTTGGATGCTTGGCAACTGGCATGTATTTATGATGGATGCCGTGTTCTGGGGTCATGAGATAACCTTTTGTGACCTCCTGACAAGCAAAATCAATGGGGAAGCCAGATTTACTTAACAGCCATGATACTAGCTTAACTGCAGTGATTCACTTAACTGCTGTGGCAAGAAACATAAAACGGGGCAAAACTAAGCATTGTCTTGCTTAGCAGTGTAAATTTTGGGCTCAATTGTGGTTGTAAGTTGAGGACTACCTGTACAATTTAGCTATAGTCACTCAAAACTAATGAGATACTGAATTATATTGGTCAGTCTTATTCAATATTATCTACTATAGCTGTGCAGCACTTCATTCAATAAGAAAAGAAAATATTTAGAGTGTAGTTGAGCTCCACAGCTATAGCACAATTCCAAGAAAAGATTTTTACAGGAGTTGCATGCATCCATACATGCTCCAAAGAACCTTTTTGTTTTTGAGTGTGAAGTATTGTGCACACTAGCTCTGCAGGTTTTGGACAAAAGTTTTTACTTACTAAGAAATTAACTTTGAGCATTTTTATGCAAAGCATGTAGTCAATTACTGAGCTTGATTTTCCCCTCTTGCAAGTTAGTTGATTCCCACTTGATGCTTAGATAAAAATCTCTGATCTTTAATGCTGCCATTACTGGAGTAATGCCATAAGATGTGCCTCAGATTTATTCTTCAGCTTTTAAAATGGTAAAACCCATTTGGTCAAGGTGACCTTCAAGATAAAGAGTGAACACATGTCTTATAAATCTCCTTTTTGTAGCCATTCCAATGTAGAGCAAAGATGTTTTCCAAGATGCAGACTCTTGTCTTCAGTCATAGGAAGACATGATGAGCCATAGACTTAAAGGCTGAAAAGAATTTCATATTTCATTCTTAAAATTTAACCCTCACAATATTTGTGCATATGCGAACCCAAACAGACAAAAAAACAATTTTTACAAAGTAAAAAATAAAAATTACAAAGTAATTTTACTGTAAGTAATCTCTGGAAACAGGCTACCAATGATTTCCTCCTCCACCACCACCACCCCACATCACCACCACCTTTCCCTTTGCTGATGAATGTACATAAAAAATAAAATCTAGAAGGGAAAATTTTTCTCCACTATAAAAGGTAGAATTCTTCACATGGAACTTGACTCCTGTGGACATTTCACCTGGAAACAACATGGGAGAGGTTTATTGTATACCTTTTGACTTCTCAGTCTAGCTCTAAAATTTCATATTTGTCCTGCATTAAAGAATTAAAAGGTCTGATCCTCTTTAGCTATTAAGATCAACTAAAATCATCACATAATGTAAAGATCTAGCTCTCTGGAGAAGTCTATAATGCTGGGGACAAGTGGAAGCAAAATGTAGTAGATTGCTAGAAGCAAAGTGAATGGATTCAATTACAGCAGTGATGGATGCACTATTGGAAGCCCTGAAGGACTAAAATGGGCAATAGTACTGTAGAAAATCTATCCATGTGGTCACTAACAGTTAATACTAACCTGATGGCGCATAATCAGTCAATCAAGATTAGGAGCTAACAAGCTTCTGCTTTTTGGTTTTCCTAGCATATACTCTCTTCCAGTATTTGGGAGCTGCCATATCATGTTTCTTGAGAATTAAAAAAACAGAAAAGTCTCTCTCGATATGCACATAGTATATGTGAAGGGGAATTCCCATTATCCACAGCAAATCTTTTTATTTTCTGTGTTCTTTGTAAGCCTGGAATCCCTGTATGTGCAGAAAAGCAAAACTAATCCAGCTTTCCATTTTAAAAAAAAACCCTGCTCCTCTCTCTCCTCTCTCTCTCTCTCTCTCTCTCTCTCTCTCTCTCTCTCTCTCTCTCTCTCTCTCTGTGTGTGTGTGTGTGTGTGTGTTTCTTGATGGAACATGTTATTAAATTTCAATAGCATATCTTTATAGAAAACAAAATAACCTGACCATGTTTTTTCAATATGCCTACAGTAGTTTAGAAAAACATAATAACTCCAACCAATTTGTTTCTTTTTCAGTCTCAGCACAATCATGTGCATGCAGGTTTTCTATAAATGATCTCATACCACATGGCTGGAGGCTGCACATTGAGTAAAGGTACCACATTGCACAATTAAATACTGTAGCTCTCTATACCTGAAATGTTCCATGTGTGTAAGCCCAAGCAAAATGGTGAACTCTCCTTTGAGCCAACTGGAACTCAAACTACATGTCATGTAATTTTCTTGGCAATATGGAATTGTATTCCATTACCTTCCACCGTGTTTGTTTGTTTTTAATCTTTCTAGTCTTGGCTATAGCCCTGGACTTCCCTGCTAGTTTCCCATCCAGGAAGAAATCATCTCTCTTGGACAACTCAAACAACTGCTTGAAAGGTTATCTCTGGCTGTTTGAAGATATCGATATATACAAAGCCATTTCACTTCTCTAGCACTCCCACGGAAAAAAGAATAGCTTGCAAAGCAGCTGTGTGAGCCTTCCGGAGTAGGTGGTTACATTAATGGCTCAAAAAGGGGTATTTTGTTCATGATACTATGCTTTCTTATGCACCTCTTTTAAACAGCTCTAATATTGATATCCAGTTAAGTAAAGACTATGACTCAATGTACAAGTTTTTTTATTTACTTAATTGGAAATGTTTATATTGGCAAAACTCTTTATGGCTGTTTACTCTTAAAATGCAATGAAAGAGATCCAGAAAATACAGTATATGATTCTTAATGTTTTGCTGATAATCTGCTCTTAATATCATATACCAGCCATCATTCCTTTAGGTCCGTGATGGCGAACCTATGGCACGTGTGCCAGAAGTGGCATGCAGAGCCATTTTTCCAGGCATGCCAGCCATCGCCCATTGATCTTCTGGGCTCCGGCACACACCTGCACATCGGCTAGCTGGTCTTTGCACACCCATGCACATCAGAAACCGGAAGACTAGGTACCAAAAACTCAACTCAACTGCTCTTCCGGTTTCTGGCACTCCCCCGGGAAACTGCTTTTCCGGTTTCTGGTGCTCCCACACACACGCACGCTTCCGTTTCAGCACTCAGTGCAGAAAAGGCTCGCCAACACTGCTTTAGGTGCAATTGAGAGAAAGAATAGCCATAACATTTTATGTTTTAAAAGTCTAATTCCTTTTAATTCCTCAGATTGAATAATTTGTTGAGTTCCTCCTATTGCAACTCAAGTAGTACAAAGATTGTGCATAATTGTCCTAAAATATCAAATAATTAAATACTTTATTATGACATGTATTCCCTTTCTTCAAAATATACTTTGAAACTCTGAAATAATTTAGGGTTTTTATGAGCAAAGGTTCATAACCCAATGTCCGCTTAAACTATTGTTACAAGCCCTTTTATGTACGTTGTTGGCAATATTGCCAGGCCTGAGAGCAACTGAATATTGTCTTTTATAATAATAGGCACATCTATTCAGAAAGTCCTTCTAGAATCCAACAGGATACACATACAAATAGCAAAGCCTGGGAAATATAGATAAAGATAATATATTATTTTTATCTCCACATTATTAATGAATCCCTCACATTCAGCCACCTTTCCAATTTTCCTTCTCTTAATAATGCAAATGCACAGATATATGTATTGATGTGTCTATCATAGTGAAAGTGTCTATTGGTGTCTGCAAATACTACAAAGAGGTGTTTCAGAATATCCAAGAGCATACAAATAATATGGTTCAGATGGCTTGAAGAGAATCATTCAGGACATTAAAGAACCTTTTAATGATCCATAGACCTCTGCATGGACCATCTCTACATACTTTAAAGTATGTGGCAACATACTTTAAACTATTGGCACCAATGATTTAAAATATAATATGAACTATTTTAGAAAACAACAAACTTTCTGACCTTAAGCAGACTCATTATCCACTCCTCCAAAATTAATTTTGTTACTCCTAAAATGTAAGGCATTGGATGAACAGAAAATCTCTTCAGTCTAAGCTAGGATGAAATCACTTTTCCTCTTACAGACTGGTGGGAAACAGCCCTCATGCACTTTATGTGAGCAATTTTTTTTGAAAATGGCAGACAGGTTCCACTGGAAAATTTAATAAGTATTAATACTTTTGGTAAATTCAATGACAAAAATGCATTGGGGATGATTTGTTATGAATTTCAGCATATACAGCATTGTTACTCCAAAAAGAGAGCAATTCTTAAATATAGTTTATAGTGTTATTTAGGAAAAAGATTTTTTTTTTTATAATCTTGGTATATATAGTTAACAGACAGGGCAATATGGAATGGAAACACCAACTTTTTACATCTGTTTACGGAATGGTGGGTCTCGACACTAATATGAGTCATTATTCTTCTGAAATTGACCTTTGGGCCCTTGATACAGCAAAAAGGCAATGACTTTTATCCAAAAATATTTCTCAGCATCAGGTACATATTTCCCTCTACAGTACACAGATTTCTAAAAGCCCTCTGCCAGCACACTTGACCATGATGATCTGGGGACAAAGAAACAGTTCATGTTAAGAAATATAGATCATTTCCAGCAGTGGAAAACATTTAGAAAAATGGAATTTCAGAGCATCTCATTGTCCTTATGTGAAATCTGTATACAGGCCTGAAAGCTAAAATATTGAAATATCAATCTGAGCTATGCTGATGAAACTATTCTAATAGTCAAAAATATAAAAGAATCTGCAAGTACTAATAATAAAAATCAAGAAGCTGTATTCTGCAAAACCTGGGTGAAACAGCCATCCCCCCACCAGCACCACCAAGTACAACAAGAAGTATGATTCTTTCAGGTCTTCTCTACAAGCCCCTTTTTTGTGCTGTAATTTTGAAGTCCAACTTCTTCGCCTATTTTTCCTCTAGGCTCTTTCACAGCACCTTTCCTTTTAAAGTCTGTTTCCAAAGAGAAATTGGTTTGCTATTTCTCCCTAGTGTTCTTCTAAAAGCCAGCTGGCACAGAATACTAAATGGAAAATGCACAAAGGCACAACTTCCACAAGCATTTGGAATTGTTCTAGGAACTCCTGAAGCTGTTCTTTAGAGCTTTTTACCGGGAGGTCTTGAAGGGTAGGTTGGGCTGCTACTAGATGGCTATTACTTCATGCTAAGAGATCCTCAAAGAGCCTGAAAATATAATGCCTGTTCAAATAATTATTTGATTGCATTAGCATTCTCATTTGGTTCAACCTACTTTTGCCTGTCACACAATAGTGATACTCCTTAGCAATTCCACTGGATCATAGTAGAACAATGGCAAGAAGACTACATAAAGGCACAGTAAAAGCACAAACTACTGTAAACATCCAGAAGAGTTTATGGTACCAGATCCTTGATGTTTTCTATCAAATTCCTCTCCCCCACCCTTTAAAAAAATTGTTAAACATGCAACTGCTAGCATAAAACATTTTTTAAAAGTAAGCTCAAATGTTCCATAATTCAAGACACAGTTTAGAATACACTTTCAAATGGAAAACCTATTTATGAAATGTAAAACTAGAAATAGCAGTTGTAGATGTTTTAGTTAGAAAGAAGCTAGCAGAAATGCTAAGCAATCGCAATAGCACTTAGGCTTATATACTGCTTCACCATGCTTTACAGCCCTCTCTAAACAGTTTACAGAGTCAGCATATTGCCCCCAACAATCTGGGTCCTCATTTTACCAACCTTGGAAGGATGGAAGGCTGAGTCAACCTTACTAACAATAAGGCAAGTGCCCATTATAAATTAACAAATACAGATTTAAAGAACTGCTGTCCTTATCAATTAAGGGGGCTTCTTATATAATATAAATTTAACATTAAAATACTAAACTATAGATTTTATAGTTAAAGGATTAGTGTTTAACAGATTTAATAAGATCGATTTCAAATGCAATACATTATTCCAAAATTAGCAAAACTTTTCACATTGTGATAATGTTACAAGACAGATGACTAGAAACTACTGCATAAATGTTTAGAATATATTACGATATAATTAAAATATTACTAAAGATAATCAGGAAAACTATAGATGTTTAGATTAATGATGGTGCTAAAGGGAAGGTAATATTTCCCCATTTTAAAAATAAAACCTATGACATTATTTTTAATAATATTTTAAGTACAACTAAGAAATTTTATTTTGATTGGAAAAATAGCCATAGATGTTTTCAGAGGCTTTAAAATTATTTATTAATAGACAGGTGTATCCATTATATCATTACAACAGACCATGCAACCCCACCCCCAATGTTCTATGCAATTTGGTACTTACTATATGTTTGTAAAAAAATAAATTATGTATTCCACACTCCAAACCAGCCCTTAAGATAATTATAAGAATTTGGTAACTTAGTCAAAAGAAACCTGCAGTGTGAAGAATGTGTAATGAAATTAACTGTTTAATTGCTTTCCTTACAATGTTGGCTCGTATTCACTCCACTGTTTTATATTTTAAAATATATTAAAGAATTCACATATAGTTTGTCTTCAGGTTAAATGTGTAGTCTCTCCTACCCACTTCAGTTTAAAAGATTGGAGTATGTTATGCATATTTGTTATGTAATATCAGGTTTGTTGTTCATTCTACCTTGACTTACAACCATTTATTCAGAGACTGTTCAAAGTTGCAATGATGCTAAGTGGATTTATTGACAGGTTTCTGAAGTAATGGCCATTGTAGCACTCCTGTGTCACGTGATTGTGATCTGAGCAGTTGGCAACCCATTCACGTTTATGATTGGTTGCCAAGTGTCCCATGATCATGTGACGACCATTTTCAAACTTCTCTGCCAGCTTCCACAGAAAATCAATGGGGAAGCTGGCAAGGAAAGTTGCATGCTGTTGTTGCCTGCCAAGGGGGTGGCTGAAAAATGATTTTGGCACTGGGAATTTTCAGCTTTCCTCATGGATTTCAGCATGGAGCTTTTTCAGCCAGACCCAAGATGAGAAGGAGTCTTCTTGACCCTGCGCTGGCTGAAAATACCCCATTCCAAAATTCTGATTAGATTTCAGCACAGAATTTTTTCAGCCAGCCACCACAATCAAAAGGCTTTCCTCTTCATTCTGGGGCTGGTTGAAATTGTTCTGTGCTGAAATCCAATCAGAATTTTTAGCTATGG